AAAATACATAGAACACCCAGCCATCAGTCTTATAAAATACATAAAACACCCAGTCATCAGTCTTATAAAATACATAAAACACCCAGCCATCAGTTTTATAAAATACATAAAACACCCAGTCATCAGTCTTATAAAATACATAAAACACCCAATCATCAGTCTTATAAAATACATAAAACACCCAGCCATCAGTCTCATAAAATACATAAAACACCCAGCCATCAGTCTTATAAAATACATAAAACACCCAGTCATCAGTCTTCTAAAATACATAAAACACCCAGTCATCAGTCTTATAAAATACATAAAACACCCAATCATCAGTCTTATAAAATACATAAAACACCCAGCCATCAGTCTTATAAAATACATAAAACACCCAGTCATCAGTCTTCTAAAATACATAAAACACCCAGTCATCAGTCTTATAAATACATAAAACATCCAGTCATCAGTCTTATAAAATACTTAAAACACCCAGCCATCAGTCTCATAAAATACATAAAACACACAGCCATCATAAGCCCAAAGTGGGCAGAATATTTTTATCTACACGTTATTTAAGATTTCAGAACTTGTAGAGTTACAAAGAGTATATTTTTATTTAACGTACCATCCACTTCTATGTTCCTAAAGTAACACTAGAGTCTTATTGGAGCTTGAAGACATGAACTCGAAAGTTACAGACGAGTGTCTTGTCAGTGAACAAAAATAGAAATAGTTTCCAAACTAGGAGTATGCAGTTTCATAAAGTTTAATTATAGTTTTTAGTAAACTTTAACATCTCATGCTACAACTGATATTTGACTCACGAATTTCGTAACATAATTTAGACAATAAGATTACTCGTAATTTGTTGGTTTCCTTATTTGTTGTTAAGCATAAGTTACACAATTAGCTATCTGTCGTGTTCTATCTACCTTCCACAAATATCAAAATCCAGTGTTCAGACTTGTCGCTATGCCACTGGGCGGGGATTTATTTATAATCAAACAAGAAAATATCTATGTACTCATACGTAATGAAATTTCATAAGTGCAAAATCCTGACAAATTACAAGACACTCAGGTAGCATAGCAGAGAGAGCAGTGCAGTAATTATCTCCACTAAAACAAAGATGTTACTGAACTTGGAAGAAAGTTTTTCTTCAGTCACGGATGTACCTACCAAGATATTACTGCCTTGAGCAATGGTGTACCAGGCTTTAATGAGAAATGATATAGTTCAAAACCTGAAGGATGAAAAAGTGAACATTGACTAACACCACGCGGTAATATTCCTTCAATTCAGAAGACTCGTTAAACGGAATGAGGAACACATTAGCATTAGAATAAAAACAAACCTATGATGATGTAACAAGAAGTTTGAAATATCGGGGAAAAGGATCGAACTGAAAACATTGTGTTTTTAACAACGAAAGTATGAGCATGAAATCACTGTTCTAATTTCGAAGCCTAAACTATTTGCGCTGATGAACAAAAGCAAAATGAATGATAGGCGGAACAAGCCTTGGGGGAGAGGGAGGCACAGAAAGAAACAAAATAAAGCTAAATAATTTTTAGTAGTACTCTTGAAGGTTTAAAACTATATATTTCGGGGTTCTATTCCTGCTGTGGGCACAATGTAGAAAGATACATTGTTCAGCTTTGCGCTGAAATAAACTAAAATGTCATCCAATCAAAAATGATTAGGTTCTTATACAGAGGTTATTTATCAAAGTGAACACAACTAAATCAGTTATCTTTAGTAACACATGTTAGAGATATGTCAAGTAAAAATAGACCAATAATAAGATACATTTAAAAAGATCATTATTATTAATTGAAATAATAGTCAAATTCAGTTTGAAGCCTGTGAATCGGTTACTTTAATTCAACGATGTGGATATGATCATTCATCAATGTTTAGTTAAAGCGCCTTCAGGTGGCTCTGTGTGTTTTAATGAAGTTTGTGATATTATATCTTTTGGCATGCTTACTCGATAATAATTATGAAGATTGCACTCCAGCTACAAAGAAAGTCAAGTATAAACGCTTTTTGTTTAGATTTATAAAAATATGACTAAAGCTTTCTCGTATATATATATATATATATGTATATGACAGTTAAGGTCACATTGTAATGCACATCCATACTTTATTTTGAACAACAACTCTATTAATAACATTGCTCTGTATTATTCTAACAAATACAGTATAACTAGTAGACCATTTCGAATTCCCAGCATGCAAAATGCATACTGCATACAAACCATCTTAATCAATCATATTAGTAATGAAAAAATGTCATTAAGAACAACTTTTCTGTTTTTTGTTCTTATTGTTGAAGCTATCTAATCTTCGAGGAATGTATTCAAACAAGCTAACTTGTAAAAACTTTTTATCATAATTATTTTATGAAATGATCACTTGAAACGTATTTGATTTTATGTAAAACATGGACCTATGTCATTAGAAGTACTTGTTTTCAAAGAGGGTGCAGATATTAGGCTCTTCAAGCTAGTCTGTAACCTATGTTATTCCAGTTCGTTAGGCCTGAATAGGCTTAGCTCAGCAAAAATTATTATTACTATTTTTATAGGCTTAACTCAGATAAACATTATTATTACAATTTTTTTTAATATAATCAACCTTGATTGTCTAGTGTTATACAGCGAATTACCATTCAATGGTTGGAAAATATTAACCTAAAGAGCTTAGTCACTTCCAGTAGGACTTTATACAAGGTTATTGTTTGTTTTCACTATCACATTTTAATCCAGAAAATCTGGCTGATATTCTTGACCATGAAGACTACTGACAATGAAAACAATAAATTAGACTTTAGAAAGGTATAAATCTATATTCATTAATCTGTATTTTTTTATTTAAATATTTGAACACATTTAGTCCTTAGGTGATTTTCACTCTAAAAGCTTTGTACAGCTATGGCTCACTGCTATTATCTGAAATGTGACTGGAATTATCGAAGTAATTGTTCAGTAACAAGTTAGAGCAGTTTTCTTAACGATGTGGGCCAGAAAGTATTTCCAACAATGACAACATTATTAGCTTGTGCTTTATGAAGTTCAGGAAGCGAACATTAAGCAAAAGTTTTTATTGATGAAACAATATATTTTTATATCTTCTAATCTTCATAACTTCTCTCATAAGCTGACAACTCGAGTGATGTTAAGACTCAATGTTTAGAAGATCCTGTTTTCCAAAATCATCCTGACAATTACATCCTCATAAATATAGATTAACATTCAACTATATTATAGTTCATCAGCTGTTCACACACAAAATCACTAGTAGATTAACAAAATGTGGATCGCAAACTGTTTATCTTAAAGCTCTATATTTAATTAAATTAATTTATTTATTTAATTACTACTTAATTAATTTATTTAGTTACTATTTAATTAATTTATTTAATTACTATTTAATTAATTTATTTAGTTACTATTTAATTAATTTATTTAATTACTATTTAATTAATTTAATTAGTTACTATTTATTTAATTAATTTAATTAGTTACTATTTATTTAATTACTATTTAATTAATTTATTTAATTAGTATTTTGTTTTATGGTATTCTAAAAAAATATTGATATTATAATTAATCTTTCCAGTTTTGCTTGTTTTATACAATAAAAGTTTGGATTAAACATTCAACTAAAATATTTGTTTCCAGTTCAAAAAGCACAAAATGTAGTTCTTTATTGATTTAGTGGGTATTTTCTTACCGCGCCCTCTAGTGTTACTTTATAAAACCACATTATATTTGTTATGTTTGTATAATTTTTATTTGCACCCTTATATATATTATACTAAACTTTCGTGATTAAGTAAAAAAGATTAGAAAATTTCTTCTATTATAAATGATCGAAAAGTTGTGTGCTATATGTTTGGGAAACACGTTCCCAGAATTGGCTGTTAAGTTGTGTGCTATATGTTTGGGAAACACGTTCCAAGAATTGGTTGTTAAGTTGTGTGCTATATGTTTGGGAAACACATTCTTAGAATTGGTTGCTAAGATAAAATATGTCAATACAAAAGTTTTAGCGCAAAACGTTGTTACCCAAAAAACGTTGTTTTCTTATTGGTTTGCATAAATTAGCATTATTTTTTAAAATCTAAAATATTTCGCTTTAATACGAGGTGAATTATAATTTATACAAATTTATGCATGTGGATGACTTGATATGACCGTTATATCATACCACCATGTCATGTAACAAATATGTCTAAACATCCCATACCAGCAGACTTTCAATGTTCCACACCTATTTCACAACAATAGGAAAAGTCAGGACTTTTGACTCACCCTGAAACAAGAACGTTACTCGTTGTGATTGAAATAATAATAAAAATCTTATAACACATACAAGGTTTTCGTGTTTATTCAGTGATTTTCTAGATATAAAACTATACACACAACCTGGCCGTTATCTTCCTCAATAATATTTACATGTTACAAACTAAAATCATTTAAGTACACTTCAGGACGGAAATGTGATTGGGCTTTTGGTCGTTTAAAAACCAAATATGTTGAACAAAATAAAAACAAGTAAACCTTATGGTAGTGATACAAGAAGAACTTTGGCACTGACTTAAAGATTAATCTTATAAAACATATATACAGACGTGGAATGTTGTGTATGGAACTTAGAGACTTTTAACAGGCCTCTGTTTGAACTTTAAAAATATAACACTACAAGAAAAAATAAAGTCTAAAACTAAATTATAGAATACACACTTACGAAAATGGTGCAATGTGCACTTACAGTTCAGATCAAACTCTACGAGACCATGAGCAACAAGTCAACATATACCTTACTTTAAATAAGTTTGATGAGCCAATGTGAATAACAACTCAACTACCAATCCACGCTAATGACGTGGTTTAAATCTCGACATATAAAATGAGCAATCTGAACAATACACATCAGGAGGAGAAACAGTCTTTTGGTGACATAAATCACAGGGATTGCGGACAACAGAACCAGATGAAGCTTTTGGTCCAGCATGCAAAGAGTTTATCTTGGTAGATTCTTCTTGTAGATGTTGCTTGTAAACTCGTTCCAACAAAGGGTTCGGAGTAAACTCCTTATCTTGAGCACACGCCACTAAAACTACTTGTTCTGAGAATTTAACACTTTTCTTTTTCTTCAGGGTTTTTGGGTCTACGGAAGAAATCAACTTGAATCTGCATTCGCTGCATCGTACTGATGGTCACTGGATGACAAAGCTGGAAAGATCTGTGTAGAATGTGTATTGAATGTGCTGTGCTGATGGTCGCTGGATGACAAAGCTGGAAAGATCTGTGTAGAAGGTGTATTGAATGGCTGGTGCTGATGATCGCTGGATGATAAAGCTGGAAAGCTCTGTGTAGAAGGTGTATTGAATGTGTTGTACTGATGGTCGCTGGATGACAAAGCTGGAAAGCTCTGTGTAGAATGTGTATTGAATGTGTTGTACTGATAGTCACTAGAAGATAAAGCTGGAAAGCTCTGTGTAGAAGGTGTATTGAATGTGTTGTACTGATGGTCACTAGAAGATAAAGCTGGAAAGCTCTGTGTATAATGTGTATTGTATATGTTATACTGTTGGTTGCTGGGTAACAAAGTTGTAAAACTCTGTGTAGGATGTGTATCCAATGTGTTATATTGTTGGTCGTTGGGTGACAAAGTTGTAAAACTCTGTGTAGGATGTGTATCCAATGTGTTATATTGTTGGTCGCTGGGTGACAATGTTGTAAAACTCTGTGTATCCAATGTGTTATATTGTTGGTCGCTGGGTGACAAAGTTGTAAAACTCTGTGTAGGATGTGTATCCAATGTGTTGTACTGTTGGTCATTGGATGACAAAGCTTTAAAACTCTGTGTAGGATGTATATAATTTTGTTCTGCATCAACCGTTTGAAGCTGTATGCAATCTTTCAATATTTCAATTCTTTGTATAGCAGTCTCATAATCAGGAGGACATTCTGGACGTTTGGGTTCTAAAGACGGATGACAATTTGGTGAATGGTTATCACTTAGAGAACCGAAAGAAGTGTCATTGTGGCTTCTCTCATTTGTAACAGCATTGGACACCCACTGAAAGTTATGTGGTGTAGAGATGGAGGTGTCGTTTGAAGGATGGTTTTCGGGGATGATCTGTTTCATCTCATGGATGTTGTCATTGTTAATTTCATACTTTTTCCCACTAGTCTGATCAGATGAACATCGTTCAATCAGACTGGACTTACTCTTAATACTTACTGAATTCTCATTCTTCTGAGGCTCAAATATACGTTGAGTTAAAGCATTGTTTGATATTAAACTGGTGATGGGGCCTTTTCGAGGTTTTAAAACAAATTCAAATCTGGAAGCAAGATCTTTTACTGAGCACGACTTTCTTTCATCGGTTGCACAACGATTTCCTTTGTCTTCATCTATTGTATTCCTGCTTGGAAACATCACGACTGATGCCTTCACTACAGATGTTGACTGAGGAATTTCGGAAGCTGAATGAATCTGAAAGTCACACACCAAAAATAATTTTTAGTTACACATTGAACAAGTACTAACAAAAATAAAAATAAAGGCACAGTTCTCCTTTTTCTAGCAATACACAATACACTGAAAACACATTTCAAATATTCACGATTACATTTATGGTTTTTGGAGACAAATGAGCTATTTCCTTCTATAAGGCGAATGACATTTTGCATCTTATATTTAGAAACAATAAATATTTATATAGAAAAAGTGCAAGAGATCAGATTGATGTGATATTATGTTATGTACTTCACAAACTGATACCTTAATTTGGATTTTAAGAAAGTTAACATCACAAATACATTTAAACTGCAAAAGTAGTTGTACATCATCACAAATTTTCATTGTTCATAGTTATATATATCATCACAGACTTGAATTTTTCATTGTTGTACATCATCATAAACTTTAGTGTTCAATGTTGAACATTATCATAAACTTTCATTGTTCATATTTGTACATTATCATAAACTTTCATTGTTCATAGTTGTGCATCATCACAAACTTTCATTGTTCGTTGTTGTACAGCATCATAAACTTTCATTGCTCATAGTTGTACATCATCACAGACTTTCATTGTTTATAGTTGTGCATCATCAAAACTTTCATTGTTTATAGTTGTGCATCATCAAAACTTTCATTGCTCATAGTTGTGCATCATCAAAACTTTCATTGCTCATAGTTGTACATCACCACAGACTTTCATTGTTCATATTTGTACATTATCATAAACTTTCATTGTTCATAGTTGTGCATCATCATAAACTTTCATTGTTCATTGTTGTACATCATCACAACTGTCATTGTTCATTGTTGTACATCATCACAAACTTTCATTGTTGTACATCATCATAAACTTTCATTGTTCATTGTTGTACATCATCATAAACTTTCATTGTTCATAGTTGTACATCATTAATAACTTTCATTGTTCATTGTTGTACATCATCATAATCTTTCTTTGCTCATAGTTATGCATCATCACAGACTTTTCATTGTTCATTGTTGTACATCATCATAAACTTGCATTGCTCATTGTTGTACATCATCATAAACTTTCGTTTATCATAGTTGTACATCATCACAGACTTTCATTGTTCATAGTTGTGCATCATCAAAAACTTTCATTGTTCATTGTTGTACATCATCATAAACTTTCATTTTTCATAGTTGTACATCATCATAAGCTTTCATTGTTCATGTTGTATATAATGCTAATTGAAACACAAATAGTATACGTTCTTTTTGTAATTTCATATTAATATCACTTCCAGGAATCCAAACTTTCATTACTCATCCTGTTTACAATACCACATGAAACAAAACGAAACTAATGCACATTTCAGCGTGGAACAACGATATTATAAAAACCTTGTAATTCAATATTCAAATCACAACCTGGATTAGATGATAATAACGAGCTTTAAAGCACGTTTAATTTCAGTTAAGAAATCCAGCATTTAGGTGCTTTTAGACATTAAGTTAACAAAGGAAGATATTTCACTTATAATGAATAGCTCACTTATATTCTACTCTTTACTTCCTAGCTACACTGAAATATTCTCGTTACTTCCTAGCTACCCCCATTCATCTCAGTAATTATTGGCTACCCTATATTCTACTCGTTACTTCCTAGCTACTCTACAGTATTCTCTAGTTCCTAGTTACCTTACATTTCTATCTACTTCATAGCTACCCTATATAACGCCCTATTCCCTAGTTAACCCACATTTTTCTGGTTACTTCCTTACTGATCTACGTTCTTCTCGTCACTTCCTAGCTACTCTACAGTATTCTCTAGTTCCTAGTTACCTTACATTTCTATCTACTTCATAGCTACCCTATATTGTTCCCTATTCCCTAGTTAACCCACATTTTTCTGGTTACTTCCTTACTGATCTACGTGCTTCTCGTCACTTATTAGCTACTCTACATTATTTTCTAGTTCCTAGTTACCTTACATTTCTATCTACTTCATAGCTACCCTATATTACTCCCTATTTCCCAGTTAACCCACATTTTTCTGGTTACTTCCTTACTGATCTACATTCTACTCGTTACTTCCTAGCTACTCTACAGTATTCTCTAGTTCCTAGTTACCGGGTTAACTAGGGAATAGGGAGTAATATAGGGTAGCTATGAAGTAGATAGAAATGTAAACATTTTTCTGGCTACTTCCTTACTGATCTACATTCTATTCGTTACTTCCCAGCTACTCTACAGTATTCTCTAGTTCCTAGTTACCTTAGATTTTTATCTACTTTATAGCTACCCTATATTACTCCCTATTTCCTAGTTAACCCACATTTTTCTGGTTACTTCCTTACTGATCTACATTTTTCGAGTAAGTTCTCTTTACGTTATATCTTAAGCAGAAACTTGTATACTGAACTGAGGCGGTTACTTTCCTTGTTGCAGACTAAGTTCTGTCGGATTCTTCTCGACATGATTGCAGACACGTGTCGAATAACATGCAGTTTGAAGAAGATCGACTCTATTATAGAATGATGTGTTACGAAATGGTCTATTCAAATTATTATAAAATCTTAGCTAAGGATAATGACAAACAAAGCCTTCGTATAAAAGATAAGAAGAGACCGCAGTTCAACCAAGTTGGTTACATAGGCGTATTACACTGCTCTGGTTATTTCCCAGCTGTATTACATTTTGGTGTTTATAATTTAGTTGACTTAGAGTTCTGGTTATTTTCTAGTTGACCTATATTTTTCTGTTTATAATTTAGTTGACTTAGAGTTCTGGTTAGTTTCTAGTTGACCTACATTCTTTTGTTTATAATTTAGTTGACTTAGAGTTCTGGTTATTTCCAAGCTGTATTACATTTTAGTGTTTATAATTTAGTTGACTTAGAGTTCTGGTTATTTTCTAGTTGACTTAAAGTTCTGGTTGTTTTCTAGTTGACCTATATTCTTCTGTTTATTTTTTAGTTTACTTATATTGTTCTGGTTGTTTTCTAGTTGACCTATATTCTTCTGTTTATTTTTTAGTTTACTTACATTGTTCTGGTTATTTTATAGTTGACCTATATTCTTCTGTTTATTTTTAGTTTACTTACATTGTTCTGGTTATTTTCTAGTTGACATATATTCTTCTGTTTATTTTTAGTTTACTTACATTGTTCTGGTTATTTTCTAGTTGACCCATATATTCTTCTGTTTATTTTTTAGTTTACTTACATTGTTCTGGTTATTTTCTAGTTGACCTATATTCTTCTGTTTATTTTTTAGTTTACTTACATTGTTCTGGTTATTTTCTAGTTGACCTATATTCTTCTATTTATTTTTTAGTTGACTTACATTGTTCTGGTTGTTTTCTAGTTGACCTATATTCTTATGTTTATTTTTTAGTTTACTTACATTGTTCTGGTTATTTTCTAGTTGACCTATTTTCTTCTGGTTATTTTCCACCTCAGTTTGTTTCTGGATGAGAGACTGTCCTGTGTAACGAAAACCAATATTATAATGAATCCAATTTCTCTTTTTTGATAATTTAGTTTGGAAATTAATGAAACTAGAAACAGTAGTATTGCAAATGTTCAATATTCGCTTGAATTTTAGTTTACAATACGTTTATCACCACACCTATTTTGGTATAAGTAAAGTCTATAAAAATACTCACGTACAAAAAACAAAAATATGCAAAATACAAATTCAGATTCAGGTAGTCAACAGTAACTATCTCTCAAACTCAAGGCTTTTAAAAATTTCGGAAACTAGTATTACGAATAACATTACATTAAGAAGATACAAAATATATCTTTCTTAAATATCTCTTGTATAAAAAAATTTGTCTTTAGAAAATGTCATCTATCTACCTGAGTTTCTTGTCTCAATTTCCGTTATGGGTGTTTTTTCATGAAAATGGTTTCTTTTCCGCAGTATTTGAAATTGTTTGGTCTCTAGTTCCTCCAGCCACTCATTTTCTCTTCTAAGTTGGCTTGATGTACGTGGATTTGTAAATCCACCAAGACTTCTTACTGATTTGTGATTTTGAGATCCAATAAGACTTTCTACTGATTTATGATTTTGAGATCCATCAATTCTTCGCTCTGAATTGAATGACATGCCTTCAGTGTTCTTTTCTCTTTCTACTCTTTCTTTTAACAATTGTTCTTTTGTGACTTGAATTCCTGCATTCCCTTCTAAAATATGTAATGGTGCAGTATTAGGTTCCTTTTGTAACACTTCTGGTTGAAGATGAACTGGAACCTGTTGGTGTTGTGTTGTGCTACAGCTTCGTTCTCCTGTTGGAACTGATATTGAAAGGCAGGAAGGATCTGCGTGAAGAGCAGGGGGTGGAGGTTCAATAAATTGGGTTAGAACATCAGGAGAGTGAATGAGAAGCATGTGGTCCAGTGGGGGAGGAGGGAAATCATAGCAAATTTTATCAAAAGAGCCACTTTTGTCCTTGGGAGGTTGTGACACCACCATTCCAACATGCGGTGGACTCACTTTCACGAGTGATCGTTGCTGCTGGCTGTTTCTTTTTATAAACGCTAGATGGGGCTGGTGACATCCCTTGGTGACATGTGAAATTTTTGAATCAGATGGCCTATTAACATTCTTTGACAGTTTATAATCAAGTGATTTTGAAGAGAGGGGTGTTTGTAAAATCAAAGAATCATCAAAAGAATGTGATGTGGAATCACTCTGGTCTTGTCCTTCTCTCAGGTCTGGTAAACTACGATTCTTCCTTCGCGCCAATCCTCCCATAAGTTTTTTTCGAATTTTATGTTGCTTTTTGTTAGACTGCTCATTAAACTGCATTAGCGTGCCATCCGGTTTTCCTAAAGTTTCTGCTTTGGGAAGAGAACTGTCTGAAACGTTTTGTTCAAAATAAACTTCTTTAATAAAATTCAAATCTTTAGTGCAATCATTTTCATCAGATCTTGCGGTAACTATGCTGTTTCCTGATTGGTCCTTCAGCTCAGGAAACTTTTCTGTATAAAATTCCGTATTTCTAATGCGAGGTTTCGGTCCTGTCGGTGCTTTTTCTTGGTTTGGCCCTTGACAGTATGTTTCAGTTTTACATAATTGTTTCTCTTTACGTGCTTGGCTTCCTTCAGGAGAAACAACAAGATTGTTATTTGGACCTTTTTGTTTACTAACTTTTTTAGGTAGTGTAGCATTTAGTTCGAATGCCTTTACATCAAATTCAGCCATAATCTGCTTTCCATTGGAACTGTCTTTGCTACCTTGTCGACTATGAGAACCTGAAGATCCATCTTTGCTACCTTGTCGACTATGAGAACCTAAAGATCCATCTTTGCTACCTTGTCGACTATGAGAACCTGAAGATCCCTCTTTGATACCTTGTCGACTATGGCGTCCATGTGTACTATCTCGACTAGACTGTCGGCTATGATGACCTTCTAAAACGGTGAACTCTTTCTGTCTCCGACGCTCTTCCATTTCTGCCTCTTTCAAACGCTTGTGAAGGCTGGATGACCTCATCACACAGAAACTATGCTTAATCTTGGCCGAGACCAAGGATTGTGGGTTATTGTATGGAGAATCCATAGCAGCTCTTGCTTTGGCTATATAAAGAGTCAATGGATTTGTTAGTATTAAAGACAAGAACGGAATTGTTTGACAACATATACAAACAAGTGACGTAGATGAAGTTTAATAGCAGCCAGCTAAAACAACAGACAGAAGGATTAAACAAATTAACGTCTGTAAACAGACAGAATAAACCATGTAATGTCTGTAGACAGAAAGATTAAACAAATTAACGTCTGTAAACAGGCGGATGAAACAATGTGTTTGTGTCTGTAAACAGACAGATTAAACAATGTAATGTCTGTAGACAGAAGGATTAACCAATGTATCGTCCGTAAATAGGCGGATTAAAAAGGTAATGTCTGTAAATAGGCGGATTAACCAGTGCAATGTCTGTAAACAGACGGATTAAACAATGTAAATAATTGTTGTATGGGCGCAATAAGGATTAAAATATCAGTAAACACCTTTAAGAGGACAGAATGAAGACCAACGTTTTACATTAATCGCCGATTATACATATAGATCAGTTTGTAAAATTCAAACAAGAGCTTCCATTACTGGATGAAACGAATACAATCTAGATCATTGAGATAATACAGAAACACTTTGAGTGACATGGATTAACTATTAAAGCCAGAACTGCCATGGTAAACAGCCTAATTACCTGCTGCTGATTCAGCCAGTACAGCAGCCACCACCAGATCCCCTTCATTCTCTTTCTCATGAGACTTCACCAGAAGAAGATCGGCCTCGGCACACAGTTTCTCACAGTCTTCGCCTTGAAATTAAAGGTTTCTGTAGCTAAGTTGTCACATACTTGTAGGTTACGAAAACAAAAATATCTAACCAAAATAAACACCAACTATAAAACAAAAAATTATAGAACGACTAAAGCTGAGAAAATATAGGGAATGTGAATTCTTGCAATTACTTTTAATCTGTTAATTAGAACTCTTTATTCTATTATAACAACATTAAATGTTGACTAAAGTGAAAAAAAAAGAAAGGCCAAACGTCACCATACAGATTTTCTTTCTGTTTAGATATGTTGTTTAATTTCAATTTATAAGAGATAAGTACATTCATGCTAATTTACATATCAAGAGGAAACTCAGTCTGAATATTGTTTTTTACTCCAGTTTAAAAGTTTTACCTTTTGTTTTGGAGTTATTACTTTCAATCAAGCTCTGAAGTTCGGGAGCATTGGGCTTCAAGATACCAGTAAGTTGGAATACTGTCTGCAAATCTTCCGGTATCTGTATTAAGCGAGGATCAATTTTGGCAGGTAATCCTGCAACAGGTGGATAGCTGTCTTGTAAATCTTCTGGTATCTGTATTAAGCGAGGATTAATTTTGGCAGGTAATCCTGCTACAGGTAGATAACTGTCTTGTAAATCTTCTGGTATCTGTATTAAGCGAGGATCAATTTTGGCAGGTGATCCTGTTACAGATGGATAGCTGTCACGTAAATCTTCCGGTATCTGTATTAAGCGAGGATCAACTTTGGCAGGTAATCCTGCGACAGGTGTATAGCTGTCACGCAAATCTTCCGGTATCTTCATTAAGCGAGGATCAATTTTGGCAGTTAATCCTGCTACAGGTGGATGGCTGTCTTGCAAATCTTCCGGTATCTGTATTAAGCGAGGATCAACTTTGGCAGGTAATCCTGCTACAGGTGGATAGCTGTCTTGCAAATCTTCCGATATCTTTATTAAGCGAGGATCAATTTTGGCAGGTGATCCTGTAACAGATGGATAGCTGTCTGTGCTGGACAAAGAGAAGGAGTCATAGCCTTTGTCAGACAAAGCCCCCATATTCATACAGTCCTGCTGCCCTGATCTCATCTCATACTCGATATTCCTGAGACTGCCAGCAGTTACTCCTGGCCTGTATGCATTCCAAGAAAATCAGAAGACAATTGTGATTAAACAATAAGTCTTTGGTGTCAAATAACTGTTACCTAGCACAAATTAGTCATATTTAAGCTTCAATCTTTATTCTTAATTAAAGCTACTAAACATATGTATTTTACATGGCTCTCCAACAAACTCAATAAATGATAATTTTGTATTGATTTTGTGGGCATAATCACAAGAGATTAGTGCAAAAATTATTAAAAGTCTCTATTTTTCTAAACTTTACCTTCTGCACTTGTACTTTTTATTTCAAGTGAATGTTCCTTTATTTCAAGAACTTTAGAAGAATATATTAGGAAACATTTCAGAATTGTTAATACATTTTAAACACATTAATTCATACTAATCTCACCAAAACATGACACGTTAAGAACTCTGACATGACAAGGGTTTCAGCCCAGAACCCTTAGCGTTGTACCAAGCGAGCAGTCAGGTTCTACGTAGATAACTCCTATCCTGACTATTATATAATCCCCCAAAGTCAAATAAGGTTTGACCTTGGGCTGGCAACACAACCCCAACACACCACTGCATCTTCATAAATCCTCTGACCAATTACACACATACAGCATACCAAGCCAAACATCATCACAGATTTTTTGATTTACCACTAATCAAGTCAAAGGCCCCATGGGCGTCAAAATAACGCACTGACTGTTGGTCCATCTCCTCAGCCTCACACCAGTGGTGTAAAACTGAAGCTTTAAGATTGAGCTACCAGTGGTCAAGTTCTGAGCATATAACCCACATACTTACTTTAAGAGTAAATAACGTTATTTTAATACTCACTTTTTATTCCCAACAACGTAGAAGAAAGGACTATCTAAGGAGGTGCTACTGGCTGAACTTGCACTATTACGGTCACCACTCCAGTTTCCAGAGTCTCGTCGTCGTGGAACATTAGCTGCCTTACCGATTTCTATTCTCAGACCAGGTAAATTATTCAAAGTTTTATCTTTGTTGTCAAAGGATTCCAAACTACTACTGCTGTTACGGTTTCTTACACTAGGATAGTAGCTTCCATTTAATGACCGCTGCCTCTGAAGTTTCTGAGCCGTAAGCACACTCTGTACTGCCTTTCGGCTGATGTAGGTGCTGTGATCTTCTGAGTTCTCCGCACCTTCAGGGTTAGTTTCCTGTTGACTGGCAGAGTCCAGTGAAAGCTGTCTTGGATCTGGTACCCTCAGTGACTCACCAGGGGAATGTAGATGGAGAGGTTGAGAACACAGGGTTGGATTACGACCATTGGACTTATCAATGTGATCAACTGATAAGGTTTCACTGCTGTTAGATGACATCAATGGATGACCTATCTTCTGCTTAAGGTCGGCAGATGGTGTAATACAACTGTGCCACTGACCACCATACTGCTGACCAAGATCAGGTTGAAACAGAGTATTCGTATCGATGCAACACTGTGCATTAGAATCGCATTTTGGATAAGATGGGTAACGTTCAAATAACTGCTGATGTACACCTTCAAATGAACAGTGACCAGACATCAATGGGTGAGAAACAGAGCCTGAATTATATAGTAAACTCGGTTTACCACTGTTTCCCAAAGAACCACACTCATTTAGGATATGTGATTTTTGTTTCTGTGCACGTGGTACTGTTGTTCTTCGGTGATTGTCATCCTCAAAATAAACCATTCCACTTTTATTACCAGTTGAGTTGCTGCTATCAGAAACTGTGATAAACAACAAAACACATCTCATTACAACTAAAGACTGGAAATATATCTAGAAATATATTACCTCTTTTTCAAATTACTAAACATATCATTAGAAACACTGATTTATCAACGTTTCTACAGTGGAAGTAAAACTAAAATTAAACCTGAAAAAATAGCCAAATACAGCGTTTGTAATGACAAACAGCTACATACCTTATAAAACAATTAAAGATGGTTTAACCAGCTTGGTATACTAAACACATGGGTACACTCACTGGTTCTTAATATTCTTGTACATTAACTTCCGAAAGCTTTTCTAAAAATCGAACACTACCTATTTGAGTTTTATTGAACAAAAATAACAGTTTTAATGACAAACATACCTTCCACAGTTACTTTGTTGCCACCAACCAAAGTAACAGACTTTGGAGCTGTGGCATTGGAAATTGGAGAACCATTTGGGTTGGCGTATAAAAGTAATAACGGCTGAAAATGTCCTCGTCTACACTTTTCAATCACTTGTTCCCACTTGGGACCGATCTGTAAAATTCCAGAATACAGGAGAATAACTGTTGTAATAATAGTAAACTCTAATAGATGACAATATCGGAACAACAATAAAGGATAGTGTGCAGTTTTAAATAAACGTAAATCGTACCTCATGAACTGTTGCATCATCGAAATATATCCAAACTCGGAGTTTTGTATGAAAAAAGAATGTTGAGTAATGTTTTCCATAGTATGTAACAATTCCCACCAGATGGTGCTTTGTAGCTGAAGCCCAGCGGTAATCTACAACAGAATGAAACACCTGCAAAATAATAAACGTTTATAATACATAAGTAAACATATATATAAAACAGATGAGATAGGACTTATATAGTAGTAAACATAGAGATACAACAAATGTGATAGGACTTATATAGTAGTAAACATATAGATAAACAGAAGTGATAGGACTTACATATAGTTGTAAACATACATATAAAATAGATGTAGTAGGACTTAGAAGTAGTAGTAAAAATATAGATAAAACAGATGAGATAGGACTTACATATAGTTGTAAACATAGAGATAAAACAGATGAGATAGGACTTATATAGTAGTAAACATATAGATAAAACAGATGTGATAGGACTTATATAGTAGTAAACATATAGACAAAACAGATGTGATAGGACTTACATATAGTTGTAAACATATAGACAAAACAGATGTGATAGGACTTATATAGTAGTAAACATATAGACAAAACAGATGTGATAGGAATTACATATAGTTGTAAACATACATATAAAATAGATGTAGTAGGACTTAGAAGTAGTAGTAAACATACACATAAAACAGATGAGATAGGACTTATATAGTAGTAAACATAGAGATAAAACAGATGTGATAGGACTTACATATAGTTGTAAACATACATATAAAATAGATGTAGTAGGACTTAGAAGTAGTAGTAAATACAGAGATGAAACTAGTGATTACATTTTCAGTTTTAGTTGATGATTTTATGTTAATGTGTAAATTTGTCACACACGAGAGCTGCGGGTTCGTAGACAACAGTAGAGCTGGCGCGTTATTTTTTTATTAGACATACTCTCTAACAGTGTGGAAGAAATACTCTAATATTCCGTAACGAAATTAATGTTAAATTTAAACTTCAGATCCGTTCCAATAGAGTGGAAAACCGCTCTGATCTGATAGTTAATATAACGCGAAGTTTAAACTTACATCTTGTAGTTTCAGATCCACTCTAATGGTGTGGAAACCGCTCTGATCCGAAAGTTAATATAATGCTAAGTTTAAACTTACATCTTGTAGTTTCAGATCCATTCCAATAGAGTAGAAAACCGCGCTGATCTGATAGTTAATATAATGCTAAGTTTAAACTTACATCTTGTAGTTTCAGATCCACTCTAATGGTGTGGAAACCGCTCTGATCCGATAGTTAATATAATGCTAAGTTTAAACTTACATCTTGTAGTTTCAGATCCATTCCAATAGAGTGGAAAACCGCTCTGATCCGATAGTTAATATAATGCTAAGTTCAAACTTACATCTTGTAGTTTCAGATCCATTCCAATAGAGTGGAAAACCTCGCTGATTTGATCTGATGTCGGCTTTTCGGAGTCCCAGACCAGCCCAACACTCACTGTACATACGAAGTATCATGTTAATTATAACCAAAACTTCCTTTATAAAATATAAAACGTATACATTAAGTTATTTCTCAACTTATCTCTAAAACGTTTTTTTGTAATTTAAACTCAAGAAATAGAACTCCACAAGGGGATAACATTGCAGACCAATGTTGTAGTTATAAGTAACTATATGATATAACATTTAATTAATTTTAGTTAAAGTCAAACAATCTCATATTTATACATATTCAAGATGATCGTACATAAAAGGTTTCATTACTTAGTTTTACACTTGTGGATACGAACAACAAAACACTGTAATATCTATTTTTTTACTTTATTTTATTAATTTCTTCAACCAGTTTCCTGACTTCAGAGGTCACTCTTCAGGATATAATTTTACTGATAATCTATAACAATATTTGGAAAATATATGTGTTTACACTCTTCAGGATATAATTTTACTGATAATATATAACAATATTTGGAAAATATATGTGTTTACACTCTTCAGGACATAATTTTACTGATAATCTATAACAATATTTGGAAAATATATGTGTTTACACTCTTCAGGATATAACTTTACTGAGAATCTATAACAATATTTGGAAAATATATGAGTTTAATTTAGATTATTTCTGTTTAATTCAGACATTCCCATCCTGGGGTACATATACCCCCAGGAGTACATTTGTACTTCTCAGGGGG